TCCATCAGACTTTTCTTCACAGCCTCATCCTAAAAGGAGAAGGGATTTTTAAAAATTGAGGCACCCAATCATAGAGCAGAGAGGCAGGTACAGTATTTTTCGCCCTATAGGACACACTTTTTCCCCTCCAAAAATAAAGGGAAAATCTGGGTGCGTCCTATGGGGCAAATGCATTCTTTCGCTGAAGCTTGGAGAGCGAGAGGGGTCGGTGCGCACCAACCCCTCTCGCTCTCCAGGCTTCAGGAACACATCCGCAGCCTAGGCAGCCCTGCGGGAGTTCCCACAGGGCTGTCTAGGCTGCGGATAGCAGCCTGGCGCCTGGCGCGAGGGGCGCCCTGAAGCAGAGCGCCCCTCACACCAGGCAGACATCCGCAGCATGTTGGAGCCCTGCGGGAGTTCCCCGCAGGGCTCCCCAAGCTGCGGATAGCAGCCTGCCGCCCAGCGCGAGGGGCGCCCTGAAGCAGAGCACCCCGCCCGCCGGGCAGACATCCACAGAGTGTTGGAGCCCTGTGGAAGTTCCCCGCAGGGCTCCCCATGCTGCGGATAGCAGCCTGCCACCCGGCGCGAGGGGCGCCCTGAAGCAGAGCGCCCCGCACGCCGGACAGACATCGGCCAGCCCCACAAGCTCTGGGGACAGGAAGGAGGCGCAGCGCCGCCATCCCGCTGTTCCTCAACCTGGTTCGGTTTCCCCGACCTGGTTTTGGGGGGTAAATAAAGGGAAATTTTTTTTCCTTTATTTCCCCCCCCAAAAACTAGGTGCGTCCTATGGGACGAAAAATACGGTAATTTCACTCTCATGAATAATGGATTTTCCATGATCAACATTTGTTGTTTGGAATCCATTATTATTGGAAACGGAACTTGGTTATCACTGGTTCCTCATTCATATAAAAGGGGGGTTTTTTGGGAGGGTGTTGTATGTTCACTAGGCATTTGGACACCTCTTTAGCTATTGTCAACAAATTTTTCATGATGGTTTCTGAGACCAAGGAGCAGTTTTTGTCCATGCATGGATACAATGGGATGCCATTTGGAATCAGGACTCATAAATACACTGATTTAAACCACTGATTTTTAAAAACTGCACTGTTTTTTCCAGTGTCTTAGAATTCTCAAGCGACTCTAGGTAACTCTAGGATAGTTTAACATATAATGATACCTCGGTTTAAACAGCTTAGTTCACGAACTACTTGAAATTTGAACGCTGCAAACCCAGAAGTAGGTGTTCCGGTTTGCGAACTTTTTTCGGAATCTGAACTGTTCGTTTTGAGTGTTACACTTCCTTTTTCCGTGCCACACATCCATTTTGAGTGCCCCCACTCCTGCTTGCACGGAGTAGGAGCTGGATGGGGCTGCTCAGCTGGGGAGGTGCAGGCTCCGTCACACTTTTCCATTGAGGGGTGCGTGGCTGCATTCACCTCAACAGAGAAGTTGAAAGGAGCATCGGTGGCCATGCGGAGACAGCCCGACAGCTGCCTCAGCAGCAGTTTAGGGGCTCTCAGACGCTGCTGCCTGGCTGCCTCCACCTCCGCCACCCCAGCAACTATTCTGCTTGGCTGCCTTCAGGTGATGTAGGGGCTCTGATGCTGACATGGGGGCTCCTTTGAGGGGAGAAGTTTAAAGGAGCCCCCAGCCGTGAACCCCTCAATGGAAAGTGTGACGGAGCCTGCACCTCCCCAGCTGAGCAGCCCCTCCAGCTCCTACTCGCGTGCAGGAACGAGAAACAAAAGATTTTCTCCTGACCAGCCAGAACATGGGAAGTCTTTTTAAATAATATAATTTGGAATGTATAATTGGTTTTATTCTTTGTATTATGATGTCGCAAGATTTGATATGTTATTAATTGGAGTGTTATTTAAAAAGAATGATGCTATATAAAATGATAAATCTGGATAACAATACATGTTATCCCCAACTGACTCCAGCTTCAAGGCCTCAGGAGAACTGGTGCATGTTGAGCTTAAACTAGGAAAACGATGAATGGTGCATAACTGAAGTAGGCAGTGGGCTTGGCTGAGGAGCAGGGAGCTAGAAAAGCAGGTGTAAGGCTTATTAGCGCTGCTTCCGGATGCTAGACAGCCAACATACAGCCCACTTTGTTTAATCCTTCAATCGATTGCAGCAGCACATCTTCCAGCCTTTTACCATAGCTCAGAGGGCAGAAAGCAGAGACTATCTAGAGTGCACTTGCAAAGCCCGTACTAGGCAGCTGGATTATTAAAAGGGCAGTGCAAGTCACAGCCACACAAACAGCAGCAAGGAGGCTTCTGCTGTTGCCCCAATTCGTGTTCAGGAGTGAACCAAAGACAGGTTTGGCTGAAGTGGATGGCCATAGGAAACGACCCTCCTGCCGTCTTGTAAGATTACATTCAGCGTTGTAACTGTCATCTCTATCCCTGACCTTCTTGCCAGCTAGGTCAGGAGGATACATAACAATTCACTCCTCCTCAGGAAGCTAGGTTGCAACAGTGGCATTGGGATAATTAGTAAGCAAAAGGGCACCAGGAGCAGGTTTTGAAATCCTGAAACCTCTGCTTTAAGATTCTGGTGCCCGGTTCCTTCAACCAACTGGGAATCCTGTAGAACTGAAAATACAAACTAGACAGAGCAATGGCACTTCCAGGATGAGTCAGGCAACCTCAGGTCAGATCACCTGCACACTCACAGATTCAGCAGCACTCCAGCAGGTGCCAAGAGAACTAACTTGTGACTATCTTTCTAATTAACTTCCCCCTGTTTACTTTGGGCCTTTATTGAGAACGCTTATTTTAGAAAGTTAGAATATTGCTTTTATATGTGCCTAGAATTGTGAGTGTATGCTGCTGCACTTTGTTGTTAAAACTACCTTTATAATAAATTCCTTATTTTTTATATTATTTCCATGTGGACCCATCTTTGTCGTTTGGGAGGGTTCTAGGCACTCCGTGTGACTCCTGCTAAAGATCCTTTGGGAGGGAGTGTGCTCTCAGGACCACATGGGTGCTGGTTTCACAGTGTCTCCAAACACACATGTCTATCAGGCCCCATGTTAGCATGTCACAGTCCAAAGCAAGGACTTGTAGGTGCTTGGGGGGAAGCAGCAAAGTGAGATAGGGCACAATTTTCCAGGCCATCCCTGACACAAGGGGGACACATTTTGTAGGAAACCCTTTGAAGGCCTTCCTTCAACAGCAGCAGTCTCTTGCAACAGAGAGAGGTAGACAACTGCTCCATGTCCTACTTGATCATACCTGTGCCAGCAAGGAGTGGTAATATGCTTTTAATAAACATGAATGCTTCAATTTCATAACAGTAATTGGAAAGAGAGTCTCATCCTAAACCTGATGCATTTTATCCTCACCTTGCAAGCGCCTTAATTAAGTTTGCTGTGCGCCTCTTGTCTTCAGGACATAAATCCTTCAGAAAAGCACTCTTCACTCCTCCTTTGCCAGGGCCCTGAAAATTAAAACCAGCATTTTAAAAAGTTATCATTAACATGGAAGAAGTGTTTCTGAATCTACAATAAAAGTATTTCAGGCAGCAGAGACTGCATATTCAGCCCCAGATGAATTAAGAACTGAAGAGAACACAAGTTTTTAAACAATAAAAAATCAACCAGTAGGATCATTTCCCAAATTGTGTGCTGGAGGATTCGCCATTAAATTGTGCTTTTAAAGATAAGCTCCAGCTGGAGGGAGAAGGTCGAAAGGGGGAGGGGAAGGAGAATGCAGCCAATTTGCCCATTTTAAAATCCTTATTAATGCTTTTATTTAATAGTTGGTTGACAAGCCCGCTCACCCTTTTCAAGTGGCAGCATTGTAGGGTGGAGGAGGGCGAGGGAATTCAAACTGGCTGTGCCCTTCCTGGTTGGCGGAGGGGGCATGAACAGGCAGCTGCAAGGGATTTGTCAAAAGGAGGCATGTCTTCCTGCTCCTCCTATTTGAGGCTGAAAGGCAGCTCATCTGTCACAACACTCTACACAGCTCCAAGAACAGGCAATAATGGGGTATCCAGAGTTTTGACTCCCTAAAAGAAGCTTTTAATCCTTAGGCACTGTGACAGAAACTGGTCTTGCTTGCTCCATTTTGGCCCCAGGCTTGCAAGTATTAATCTAGCCAGTTACAAATGCTAAAGAAGATTTTTAGACGCCTGGACAAGGAGGATTTTTCAAGGCCCTACACAATTACTTTATCTTTGCCCCTTGAATGCCACAATGATGGCACACAAAAAGAAAGAAAAAAAGGCTTCTAAGCCAGATACAAACAGCCACTTTTCAGCTGTGGGAGAATAAGAAGAGAGCAAGGGAGGCAGGAAAAGTCTGCATTCAATTGGACTGCTCGCTGCCACCATCCTAGACCACGTTTACATTATACCTAATTTGTTTGTTTCAGTATTTTAACAACAGTAACAACAGTCAGAATATGAAAGCAAGTCAAAGCAGGCCAACAAAACTCTGTCTCACCTTCTCTGATACCTCTGAGTAAGGAAGAGCCTATTGGGAGTTGGCTAGGTAGGCAAATGAAACTCAAAAGCCTGGATCTAATTTGTCAGGAAGTCAGCGCGTACAATGACATTATTCACAGTTTGATCTCATATACTCCCAGGGTAGGGAGACTGCCTGAGAACCGCATGTGCATGTACGCTACCTTGGGCTCCATGATGAAGAAGGCTAACTGTAAGCAAATAAACATGTAAATATGAGCAGCTAGAGATCAAATGTTCCTAAATGGCAGCTTTAAGCCATTTCTCTAGCTCTATAAGGAGCACCTAAGGCTGCCTGCCAGCCTGTGAAAATGAGATGATGGTGCCTAAAAACACACCAAGATTTTTCCAGCCCTCCTAAAGGACCTGAAAAGGTTGTATCCCTAAGTTTTCATTTGAACTCTTTTACTTCTAGCCCTCTCCCCAAAGATACAAACAGACCCCCAATCTCATTTTAACCTGTTGCTCCAAAGTCGCTGAGACAAGGGTGCACATGCTGTATGCACAGAGTGAATCCGAATCAGGTCCTGGCCCAATTCACTACCCAACAATTCAAGCTAAACTTGGCAACCATTCAAAGATCATACCTGGGACATAGACAGGTGGCTGCTCTTCATCAGAAACTGAATGCAATTTCATTCAAGGAAAGCAAGGGCAAAAGGTTTGTTCCATTCTACATTTTACAGTCTGGAAATATTATCTCCGTGATTGAGCTAGTCTGAAAATTCTTCTGCATCAAAACTGAAGTTCAGACGCAGCACAACACTGACTGGGAGACTACAGACATTTCTGTAAATCCACTTTGTTATTACTCTTAAACAGACCTGAATGAAAAGGTTGTCTTCTATTAAAGACCCTGTAACTAGCTCAATCACAGAGATAATGAGCCACATTTATTTGTATTAGCCTTTATTATAATAGCAACTCCTGGAGGCTATACACTCAATGAATGCTCCTCAGACTCTTATTATGGACACAGACTAAGCTTTAAAGTCACACATTTTCGAAAAAGCTATCTAATGATTACAGTACATGGAAAACAAAATAGCACGTTTATGCAATTACTTGCATATACTGCTCCTTATACACTGTTCCCTATTCAGGTACTATTTATTTTTCCTCCTCTCTCCCCATTTCTATCTATTGACTGTAAATCTTTGTTAACATTTTATTCTTGTACAGTGCAGTAGTACTTAGCCAAATAAAAAGGTTGAAATCCAAAGCACAGGGTCCAGGTCAGTAGTAAATGCAGGTCAGTAGTGCAGCAACAGTTACATGCACCCAGAATATGACCATACGGAGTTATTGTAAGCTACTCATCTAACACTTTTAAGTGTGAGATGCAAGATGTGTGCCGCTCCTTAGAGATGTTAGAATCACAGACCTGCAGAATTAGAAGGAATCCTAAGGGTCCTCTAGTCCAATCCCCTGAAATGCAGGAAAATGCAGGTGGCCATTAGGAAGATCAAACCTGCAACCTTGGCCTAATCAGCACCAGCTCTAACCAGCCAAGCTAACTAGTGCAGGGGGGCCTTCTTTTGTAGAACTGCAACCCGAGGCCTCCCAGAACCTCCTAACTTTGCCTCTGGGAGCCTGAAGGTCCCACCACAGGGAACTACTGTACAAACAAACCTTGAAATCAGCTGCAGAAGCTCAGAGAGTTGAGGGGAAAGGCGGGAAGCCCCGAGTTCAAGTCTCAGTTCTGCGCGACTATTAGGGCGGCCACTTAGAAGGAGCTCTGGGGAAGGTAACGTATTAGCAGCACCATTTGCACGAGAATCTGAAGCAGCAAGATTTCCAAGCCGCTCTTTGCCGAGGAGGGCGAGGGGCAAGAGAGAGCGGGACCAGGGTCAGCCCGCCCTGGGAGTGGGGGCTTCAGCCGTAGCCCCCGGGCCTGGCTCTGCACTCGGGGACAAAGCCCACGGAGCGAGCGGGGCGGCTCTCTGCACATGCTCAGGAACCACGTCGGCCTTTGCCATCCTTTATCACCGCCCCGCCGTCCAAACAGCCCCGCCCCCACGCCTTTTCTTCTCCTCCTGAGGGAAGGATACGGTCCTTGCTCCAGCCAGCGGCTCCTTCCGGTCCCGCAGCCAGATCCGCCATCTTGAAACAACTGCCCCTGCCACTCCAAACATCCCCCCGCCCCCAAGCCCGACTCTCGCCTCCCACTGGCGAGAAAGGGAGGAGTGGGAGCCGGCTCTCCCATTGCCTTCTGGGACTCGTAGTGCCTGCTCTCTTGTCCTCCCCACCTACAGAACGGAAATGAATGACAGGGAGGACTGCATTTCCCAAAAGGCACGGCGGTGCTGCTTCTGAGCTACGGGTCGCGAGAAGAGGCAAAAGGCCCGGTGCTGTTTTCCCTCCCAGGTGTGCAGGTGCAGGTGGTCAGAGGCTGATGCGGGAGGGAGGAGGAAGGAGAGGGAGGAGAAGGCCCTGCGCAGCCTCAGCAGCTCCAGCCGCACCAAGCCCGACCTGGAGAAGCTCCCCTGGCATCCCTGGTTGGCATGGAAACTGCCCAGAGCCTTTCTTCCCTCCCTTGTTCATTCCATGGCGCTTCCTCCCAACACAACTCACAACAGCCCTGGGAGGGAGGCCAGGCTGAGAGCAACACCGCTACAAACACCTCATACAAACACCCCATAATACTCACTCTGCATATGTAATAAATCAATATTTTAGTGCAGCAGCGCCCCACTTTGGAACTCCCTGCTTATTCACAACAGGCAGGCGACTTCGCTGTACTCTTTTTCGGTGCCTGCTAAAAACATTATAGTTCAGGCAAGCCTACCCAGATGCTAAGAAGTATGGCATGTGTTTGAATCCGGTTTTTAGCTTATCATTGATTTCAATTAATGGAGAGGGTGTTATTGGTTTCATTTGTTTTTGTTCCTGTTTCTACTGAATATTTTGCGTTTGCCCCTTGTGTTTTTGTGCTGTGAACCAGCCAGGATCTTCAGATGGGCAGTATACAAATAAATAACTTCTGAATGATTTTAAATAGCTCTTTTTAACTTTTTGTTGATCATTTTTATTGATATCCGCTCTGAGGGTTTTTCTCATTGTTGAACAATATATAAATGCCATGAAATGCACAAGAAATAAATACATTCTTATCTGATCACAATTGCATCCACACACCCATTTCCTCTGCTTAAATTGTGTTCTGTCTTTAATTTGGGAGGTGGGGCAATGATACAGGAGCTGTTCAGTAGCAGAAAGATTCCTATTTCAGCAGCAGCACTCTGCATGCTGCCAATCCCATTGTTGCGGCCATGACGGTTTAGGCGCTTGCTTTTTGCAAAAAGCATGTAAGCAAGCAAGCTGAGATTCTTCTCCAGAGGGAACCATGTTCTGTGAGCCTTCGGTGCTTCTACAGAATAGTGCCATCCATGCCAGCAACCTAGTAATGGCTGCCTTTTCCCCAGACAACCCGATGCCCCTTGGCTCCATGACCATCAACAGCATCTCCAAGCTAAACTGAGTCAGAGCGTCACCCGTCTACGCCTTTCCCAATGCTGATTTGGAGGATACCGACGATGAAGGAGATACTGCCCCACCTCACCCCTTTGTCCATGGGAGACCTCGGTCCCCCTCTCCGCCCCCACTTGCTGCCCCACCAAAAGTATCCGTGACCTTATACACGAGTCCCATCGACGCCCAGCTTCCCAAACTGCATGGTTTGAGTTTTCCTTGCCCTGCATCCAGAGCTCAGCCTCGCTCAGCCTTTTCTTTCTCCCCAAAGGTAACGGGTCAGCTGGAGAAACCTCACTTGGACTCGCGGAGCCTGGTGTTTGAGCTGGACCCATGCGGAGGGAATGGGAAGGTCTGCCTTGTGTACAGGAACACCAAGTCAGGTATGTTGTGTGATACCAGCAGCCCAAGAGCTGCCTGCGCTAATCGACCCTGTCTGCAAACCCGTTCGCTTTTGCCTTTGTGGGAGATGTTTTGGACTACTGTTCCTAGCACCATACAGTTGTGCTGGCTGAGACTGATGGGCTTTGTAGTCCAAAACATCTGGAGGGCACCAGGTTGACAAAGGCTGTTATCTATCATGGCCTTTGATGAAGTCTTCCTGAAGCAAGCTATGCCTGGCTTTCATCATTTCCCATTATTATTATTAAAATTTGCATACCGTCCTTCATCCACAAATCTCAGGGCGGTTTACCACATAAAACTGCAATATAAAAAACACAAAATGCATAATAAAAATAAGAAGAAAAACAAACATCCCCCACCCAGCACATTTAGAAAGCTGTCAGATGTCAATCAGCCAAAGGCTGAGTTGAAGAGGAACATTTTCGCCTGGCACCTACAGATAGGTAGCGAAAGTGCCAGGTGAGCCTCCCTGGAGACAGCCTTCCACAAACAGGGAGCCATTGCAGAAAAGACCCGTGCTTGTGTGGCCACCCTCCGGACCTTTCGTGGAGGAGGCAGCCAAAGAAGGGCCTCAGAGGATTAATTTCCCTTGGAAACGCCTTTATCCTTTGTAGAAAGCACCGAGGCCCAGTTCATCATCCCTAGGCCTCAGAGTTCCTTATTAACCCCCCTTGAAAGGTTGGGTGGTCCGTTCTTCTCATCCTGCGGTCTAATAGTCTCTCTTCTCTCTTCCAGTTGTCACCCCGCATTCTGAGATCTGGTTTCTGGACTGAGCTCTCTACTGGCATTTCCTCACCAAAACCTTCACCGCTTACTGCCGGCTCCTGATCACCCACCTGGGGCTGCCGCATTGGCAGGATGCCTTCACCAGCTACAGCATCAGCCCCCAGGCTAAAGTGAGAGAACGACAGGCGGCCCGTCCCTTTTCCTAGGCTCTGCCGCTCCTGCCCATTCTGTCTTCACAAAAGCCCTTCGAGGGAGGGTCAGGCTGAGAGTGAGTGACTGGTCCGAGGTCACCCAGTGAGCTTCATGGCCAGACAGGAATCTGAACCCCGGCCTCCCAGGCCCTAGATCATTCTGATCCACTGTTTCTCCCCAGCTGTTGTCTGGACCCAAGTCTGAGAAACATTGCTCTTACCACTATGCCACACCACCTCTACACTGACTGGCTGCTGCTCTCCAGGGCTTCAGGTGGCACGGTGGGGGTCTCTCCCAGCCCTCCTTGGAGATACCAGTGAGGATTTGCCTACAACTTAAATGCTCTCGCCTCTGAACTGATCCTTTTGACCCAGGGCTGAAGTTCTTCCATTCCCTTGCTCTGTTCTGCATCATTCCCACTTTCCCAGAGAGGCATTTGAACACTGACTCTCCAGGATGTGGGCAGCAGCCGATGTTCTCAGTCCCACTTGGAGACCCCAACTTAATTCAATGAGTTCCTGGATGCCGTCTGCCGAAATTGTCTAACAATGGATGGTTACCATTTTATAACTTCAAGCTGAGCATTTGCAAGCTGCCAGATCCCATTAAGGAATCACATTAGCTTATGATTAACCCATAAATCAGAACTGCTATCAGTTGACTCTTGGTAGATGTTACTGATAGGAAATTCCCATTAAAAGCCGGAGAGGAAAAGCTTTTAATGGGAATGAGTCTTGAGCAGATTTGTTTGTTTGTTTGTTTAATTTTATTGAAGATTTTCTTGGTTTACAAAAGTATGTGCATGGTCTCTTTTTCAGGTTGTGGAGTCCTTTTACATTTCATGTGAGACATCAGTGTTGTATACAGAATGAGGTTGGGGAAGAAGCAGCAGGGAGAGAGAGGGCGTGGTGATACTTTGTGTATATGTGGGGTTTTCATGTCAGTGTCATTTGGGTAGGTTCTCTTTCTATTCCTTTATTACAGAGTGTGGCGTTTTCCCTCCTAGGTGTGTGACATCATATTGGGTTCATAAGGAAAGGGTTAACTAATTGTAAAATGACTAACCATTGGGAACCCAAGGGGAGGAATTAAGAGTTATCGAGTTAGGGTGGGGTTGAGAAGTCAGTCTGGAGTTAGAAGAGACAGAGAAGATAAATCTGTGGGTTGGGCTAATCTGGTGTGAGAGATGGAGAGAATTTGTTAAGAGGAGTCAGTCAAACAGTTGAGATAATCAGTCAGACGGTATTAGGAAGGTATAGGCCGGTAAAGAAACTAAAGTTAAGAAACTGACAGGAATATTATCTGAGAAACAATAAACTTGTTAATGCTTATAAAATAAACTTGTTTATTTGGTTCACTTTTAACAGCTGTCTGGACTCAGTGTTTTACCCGAGAGTAACGGGTTGGTGGCAGCAGGGAAGCGAGCACAGTGGTGGCACAGGGATCAATAGACCGTTAAACGTCCGGGGGACCCTGTGTGATCGCCACCCAGAGGTATTCAACCTTTTTGGATCCATGGCTCCCTTAAGCAACTGCCTTCTTTCTGCGGCACCCCTATGGGGCTCAGGAGCCCAGTTAGGTCACCCCTTGCCTGCAGAGCTGGCAGCCCCTCACCCCTTTTTGAACACCCTCCCTGGGGAGTGTTCCCTCAGCCTCCTCTCCCCTTTCTTTGGGAGTCCTGCTGCCACCCTTCATCTCTGAGCTGCTCTCCCTGCCCCAAAGAGAGGTGGCTCCTCACACTGCCCCACAGGGGCCTGGGAAGCACCCCCTGGCCAGCCCCAGAGGCACCATTCGCCTGCTGCCCGCCCGCTGCACCCCTGGCAATCATTCATGGCACCCCAGGTTGCCACAGCACACTGGTTGAAAACCACTGCTTTATTATACAGTGGTACCTTGGGTTACATACGCTTCAGGTTACATACGCTTCAGGTTACAGACTCCGCTAACCCAGAAATAGCACCTCGGATTAAGAACTTTGCTTCAGGATGAGAACAGAAATTGTGCTCCAGTCGCGCGGCGGCAGCAGGAGGCCCCATTAGCTAAAGTGGTGCTTCAGGTTAAGAACAGTTTCAGGTTAAGTACGGACCTCCGGAACGAATTAAGTACTTAACCTGAGGTACCACTATATTTCCTTGGTAGCGAGAGAGGCAGGGGGACAGGGTGTGGTTGGTTGTCTTTAGTTGGCTGCAGTGAGATTTGTTTGGGGGGGGGGTCCTGGGCAGATTTATGAAACCAGAATGATTTTGTCTGCAGGCTAAGCAACAGGCTTATCAGCTGGCTCAAAGTGAACCATCAATTGATTCTGAACATGAAATTCATTGCAAAAAGTTGTTAGGTTTTTCTCTGGTTGCAGCTATGCAAAGGAAAGCATTTGGTGGAGATTCTCCCAGGGATGAATTTTGCCTCCCTTATTTGATGTGGTAAGGCCTGTGGTTAACTCCTGCGATTTCCGCTTTTTAGAAATGCCTGGAGCAATTCCGTTAGCTATTCTTATGGGAGTCTCCTCAGAGATGCTGAAACAACGAAGAGGTTTGTGGCACCAGCTTTCTGATGAAGGTTTGGTGATTGTGGAGAGAGGGCAGAGTGGAAGCACAACGCACTGGGGCTTCCAGCCCTCAGGGTGGCAGTTCAGCTTTCAGTGCTAGGAGTCAGTGTATGTGTGGAGGCCAAATGGCCGAAATATTGGGAAATTTTGGAACAAGAAGGAGACAAATTGAAATTGCAGAGTTTCAAGAAATTAAAAAACAAAGTGCGAGATTGGCTTCATTATTATCAGATAATGGAGGCATACAATTTGGATAAGAAAATTGGCTTCCAGGTGGAAAAATCAAAACTAGAAACAGAACTGTTAGAACCCAAAACTAAGAATTTGTCAAGAATGTATAACTTGCTGTTGAAATGGAATACTCAGGATGAAACGGTGAAATCTTCTATGATTAAATGGGCACAAATGTTGGATATAATATTATGTTTGCTGACTGGGAACAGTTATGGACCACAGGTATGAAGTTTACGGCATGTAATGCCCTAAGAGAGAATATTATGAAAATGATATACAGGTGGTACATGACCCCAGTCAAGCTTGCAAAAATCTATCATTTGCCCGATAATAAATGCTGGAAATGTAAAGAAACAGAAGGTACATTCTTTCATCTTTGGTGGACGTGCCCAAGGATTAAGGCTTTCTGGGAGATGATCTATAATGAATTGAAAAAGGTATTTAAATATACCTTCTTGAAGAAACCAGAGGCCTTTCTCCTGGGCATAGTCGGCCAATTGGTGTCAAAGAAGGATAGAACTTTCTTTATGTATGCCACAACAGCAGCAAGAATACTAATCGCAAAGTATTGGAAGACACAAGATCTACCCACTTTGGAAGAATGGCAGATGAAGGTGATGGACTACATGGAATTGGCGGAAATGACTGGCAGAATCCGAGACCAGGGAGAAGAGTCGGTGGAAGAAGATTGGAAAAAGTTCAAAGACTATTTACAGAAATATTGTAAAATTAATGAATGTTAGAATGATGTTGGATAGAAATTAAGTGGTTTTTAGCTGTAATGTTATAAGGGAATATGAAAAATGGATTATTATCAGGCAAAAATCTAAGGTTATAATATTTTAAGATTGAAGATTAGGATTAACTAAGAGGGGAGGGATTTGCTGAACTAACAAACTGAATTGGAATACAGAAAAGGGAGGCGTGAGGAGGTCCAGGAAATAAGCAAATGAAAGATAAGTGATTGAAAGACTGAATTGTTTTTAACTACTTTTATTTTGTATTTTTCTTTTATATTTTTCTTTTTTCTTTTTCTATGTTGTAATATTTTGAAAATCTTAATAAATATCTTATATAAAAAAAAAAGGAGTCAGTGTATGTGTCCCAGGGGCCAGATTCACAGCAAGGTTGAGTGGTCTGATACATAAAAAAACAACAACACACACACACACATGCCCAAGAAGTGCATTGATTGCTTCTCCCTTTTCTCAACCTCCATAACGGGTTTCCTCAAACTTGGCCCTCCAGATGTTTTTGGCCTACAACTCCCATGATCCCTAGCTGGCAGGACCATTGTTTCTCTCATCAATCAGTCACATACTCCTCATATCAATTACACGTGGCCTTGGTGAGTCACTGGGTCGCATTTTCAGCATCGGGATCAGAACTGGTGATGGAAAGAATCCATTTCAAACAGCTTTAAATGATTGCGGTGTCCCTGGAACTCAGTTTTCAAACTCGAAGGAACCAAACATTAAGAAAAAGTGCTTTTCATGGCAAAACTCTGCTTTACTTTGTGGACTTAACAGTACTCTGTTTTAGATCAATTTTGTGAATGAAAACCATTCTTGTTTCTTTTGCTTGCAGCTTTGACTGTAGCGGACGTGGGTGGCGCTGTGGGTTAAACCACAGAGCTTAGGACTTGCCGATCAGAAGGTCGGCGGTTCAAATCCCCATGACAGGGTGAGCTCCCATTGCTTGGTCCCTGCTCCTGCCAACCTAGCAGTTCGAAAGCACGTCAAATTGCAAGTAGATAAATAGGTACCGCTCCAGCGGGAAGGTAAACGGCGTTTCCGTGCACTGCTCTGGTTCGCCAGAAGCGGCTTAGTCCCGCTGGCCACATGACCCAGAAGCTGTACACCGGCTCCCTCGGCCTATAGAGCGAGATGAGTGCTGCAACCCCAGAGTCGGCCACGACTGGACCTAATGGTCAGGGGTCCCTTTACTTTGCTTTTTACTTGACTGTAGCAGGCAATGTTCATATGCTACATTAACAGGAATACACATGGCAGCCAGAAGAGGGCAGCCTAATCCCATAGTCTTCTCGGCTACAAGTTTTCTAAGATAGAGAGTGAA